TCATCTATCTGACTCGGTGGATTACGAATTGGGTCGAAGTTCCCATCAGGAGATGCCCAATATGGTTTCTCACAGGTGTTTTCACCAGTACTACCAGAAACAGCGGGCTCTGGTGGGAGGTCAGCACTCATTTGCGACAGCATTTCACTCAGTATAGACTCAAAGTTGTTTCCGCTCAGTTCCGCTATTTCTTTTAATCTGTCCAGGTAGGACTTTGTGATGCTACTACCCAGTTGCTGTGTAAACACACTGGCTAACGCTCTCACATGGCACTTAGCACCGGGTTCGCTTGACAGCTGATGAGTATACGGCAATGTTGGTCCAAGTGATTGCATCGCTTTATTACTGTTGTACTCAACGATCACGTTTTGGTAGAACTCGGATTCTTTGTCGTCGATGCGCACGGTTTTGACAAACGACCCGTGTCGTTTCAGAGCATCAAACAATTCATCATCACTCGCAACGTCGGTTAAACCACTGACTATTACAGAGTTTGGGATAATAATCCCTTCAGCTTCAATAATCTCCATTATCGTCGCTTGCTTGAAAGCAAAAGGGATATAAAGTGTGTAGCTGTTAGTTCTCAACAACAGCGCTGTCTCCTGGCTGGCTCGCCAAAGTTTATGTAGCACTCGTCTGCAGTAATTTAATAGACTTTTTATATTACTGTTATAATACAGATAAAATTTGAATTCCATCAGAAGAATCAAGGATCGCTAAGGAGACAGCGGGTTAACATGAGAAGTAACAGACAGATACAAGATTGAATTAGAAATATAATTGGTTTTACTTGAAAGGAAAAAATAGAAAATTTATAAATGTAAATTACAAGATCACATAAACAATAAAATTGACAATGAAAATTTCCACCACGAGTGCACTCTTGTCGGTGTTTTCAAATATGTACCCACATAGTCAGTTCAACACTCAAAAAGAAAAGGAAAAAAAAAAGTTCTTAAGATCGAAGTTGTCGTGTTTCCACGAGTAGCCCTGAAAACTCAAGGAAAGGATAACGGCCTCCTCTCCACGAAGTGATGTCTTCTCCCTTTCTAGAAACTGGGTTGGCTCGCCATCAAACACGGAGTCTACAGGATGTCACAGAAGGTCGTGCAGTCATCATGTCTCCAAGGTATCAAGAAGAAAGAAAAGAAAACGGAAAAAAAAACAAAGGAGAGAGAAAAAACCTGGCCTCTGAATCAATAGCTTTCTCTCTAATACAGACACGTGGCCAACAATGGCGACGGTGAACTCTTTGTGATCGATTTTTCTTTTGCTCTCACACAGGCGTAGCTACAGGCGTGCGTGATCATAAAATGGCGTCGGTGAACAAGTAGAATGTATTCCTCAATTCAGTCGGCTTCTTATTCAGAATGAATCAAACTAATTAATTCTCAAGCTTTCTCGTATTATTTCAAAGATTTTCAATCAAAGATGTATAAAAACGGATCACGACGATCAGATTGCGTCTGCTCTTCTCAATCAAGCTCGTCTCTTCTGTCATCGCGCATGCTCGTTGACGCCCATGGCGCAAATGACAAAAAGCTCTCATTGGTTGATCACTAAGCTTCTATCTAAAACGATAGAACGAACGATACGATAGTTCGCAAATTTATTTATTTTTTATTCGTAACTTTTACATATCGACTTTTATTAAGGGAACAGGATATTGCTAAATTGTGTATAAATTAAATAATTACTTTTATTTAACCTGTGTTACACCAGCGATCTTCGAATATTATTTTTGCTTGAAAATTTCGTTTTGTATAAATTGTATCTTCATTTTAAGTATCATTCTATCATTGCCATGTCAGTGTATTGATTCATTGTCCCTTCATAGTTTGCAAGAGACATATAATAAACTGAGCGTATTAATAAACTGAGACGTATACTATTTAATAAACTGAGCGTAGCCTATTCATCTGTCAATATGAAACGCGACTGGGTCATTCTAATTAATGATCGGAAAAACGCGTATCGACCACCGTTACTGTAAAATATGCACGTATGTCCATTTAAACTCAATTTTGGTCAAATGTGGATTATATCATTACACTGGCAAGAATATGGTTACATTTAAAGTTGTCGTACCAAGTATGACAACGCTAGTTCAACTGCTTTTGAAATTACGTGTTTTTTTCACTTCCTGAAAAGTAACCGTTTTGGACATACGTGAGTTTCATCGGGCAGCGACGATATGAAAGTTTCATTTGTATCATTACATTATGGAAAATAATGAACTTTATCACATTATGCTAATTTTTTGAGAAGGACCTGTATATATATATATATATATATATATTAGATATAGATATAAAGAGACATGTAAGCTCACATGTAGTAATTTTTAAAACTTTAGCCTATCTACCGATTCCAAATCATATTTATATTACATATTATCTGTAGCCTAAATGTTTAATAATAATTGTTACACTAAAATGGCTCACGTGTGATTGATTAGGGGAATAATATTACATAAACAATATATAAATCATATAAAATAATTATAATAAATAGTCAAAGCCAGACAATTTTGTATTTAAAAATATTTTAGTGACTTTTAACACAAAGCAGGTTAGCCATGGAGTGCAAGTTAGCCTAGACTATAGCGATGAACACCGTTAAAAGCAGAGCCACTTTCATGGTGCCTAAAACCCAGGGTTGGCGCAAACTAACCTGAAACATACCTGGCTGTCTACCTAAACTAACTTCATATAAGCCCCGAAACTACTGTAACTGTTGTAGGCTGGCAAAACCAGGCAGCAAAATATTAACGCAGAATGCGCAACAAACATCCGTATTCTGTAAAACAGGTTGAAGTGTTTCCGGTTCAGGTGTTTTTTGTACATGCTTCGTTAAATATAAAGCCTTGGGCAGCCAACTTTTGAGTTCAGGAGTGAGAGGTATAGACACAAATTTCATGATTCAATTCATGAGCTTGGGATTCGATTCTGATCTCGATTCAATATCGAATAATTTATGGATATAGTAGCTACATGTTAATTTTTCTCAAGGAAAAAAAATATGGGGGTAAATTGATGCCAAAACCATTGAAAATGCACAGACTAAAAGTCACAAATAGATATTACAACTTGTAAACACAAAACACAATCTGTAAATAGATTCCAAATCTGCAAAAAAACTCCTCATGATCCGCAAATGTAAAACAAGATCTACAAATAGATAAAAAATCCACAAACAGACTCTTCGTGACATACAAATATAAAATACGATCTACAAATAGATTTAAAATCCGCAAACAAACTCTTTATGATTCTCAAATAGAAATCAGTGACTTTGTCTGTGCATTACCCCCATAAAAAAATCTATTTCAACTAATTTTGTAAATTATACAGGGAGTCCTGTCATCTGGTAGCCTATATTATTATTAAAGGTAGCTTAACAAGCAACAGATTTTAAAATGCATGATATAAGGAAGTTTTTATGATAAAATAAAGTTTAATAATAACTTTTAATTATATAAGAGTAAAATTATAATTAATATGTAATAGTGTTTTTTTTTTTTACTCCTCTCTGGCCTGCCTAAATTTGTCTCGCTAACTAATGGACATTTAATGGCTTTTCTGAGGTAAATGTAAAGTGACATTGTTTACAATCTGTTTTATATCAGTGGTTGAAAAAACTGATTGAGCGATTACAAGAAACATGATACATTAAATGGTTCTTTCAACATACCCTTGATGATGAATCATGTTTATTTTGTACTGTAACTAGTAGTAGAGGAAGAGATGATCATTCACGTGCACTACCGCTTCGCTTGACATCATATTACTACGCCAATACGGTATATTGTTTGGCTTTCGTAATAAAACGTTTTCGTATTAAAAATGTGAAAGCTGAGACTTTCATATCAAAAGTAACCTGCTCTGTCTTGTCTGTATGCGCGTTGTCCGTCTTTGCTCCGCGATGGTTTTTTTCTTTTACTAAGTGAGAATATGGATGTATGGCATGAGAACAATGTCAAATGTCTGATGCTGAATTCGTTAGTGTTGGCAGCCAGCTATTTTAAGATGCTTTCAAAGGAGCTACCAATGAGCATAACCGATGTCAATCGCATGCAGATCTAAAAAAAAATAATAATAATAATAATAATTCTCTCTAACATTTGTAAAAACGGCAACAATTAAAATAAATAACTAGATACGTTAGCTTACCTTAAAAGTTCGTAGATATCGCCGTCACTTCACTGCTTCAACAAGCGGATTCCATGAGACCTTTTTTCCTGTTTGTTCATGTGATGTTCGACATAAAACCCATGGTATCTATAAACAAATGCTGCAAATTATAATTTTTTATCCTTTTAGTGTTTACACGTGAAAAGTTCACTTGTTCATCTTTGTTTGAAATAAATGGAATTTTCTTTGAGATTTTATGCAACTTTTAAAATTGTCAAAATACTTTTTGGGGCCACTGTAAGTTGAAACCATTACATTTTTTGTTAGGACAAGAATGAAATGACACTTACCTTGCGAGGATTGAGGATGTTGTACACGCAACATATCATTTTTCAATAAACAATGCCCATCTCTCTGGTTATCTGTTTTTTTATTTTATTCAATGTGTTCTTGAAAAAACATTTCATTGCATAACTGACACTTAATTTATCATATTTAACTCATGGCAACCTTTATGGCAATACTAAAAAACATTTACACTATGGTTCCCAAAGACCATTTGAGAGAAATTACAAAAAGTCAAAACCAACCAACTGAAAATAATATACAGAAATATCACTTAGGTAAAAAAATAAAATACATTTAACCTTTTATTTATTATTTTGACAGTGCTTATGAAAATCTTATGTTGAGATTACAGTCACTGATTTAGCATTGTTTTTCTGAATGAGTGGACTACCTGTCTGTACACTCCCACCCAAACGAACGACAAGACAACCAAACAATAAGATGTGAAAAAGCAAATTTTAATTAAATCTTTTAATAGTAAAATGAAACTGCACCTCCAGTCAAAATCAATCAGAAGAACGATATTAAAAGGCAGATTATAGTACAGAACGTTTTTTTTTTCTTCTCCTGGGTGATTTGATGAATGAGCACATAACATGGAACAACCTTTAAACGAGGGCGAACTGAGAGGTTCATTTCAACACACATCTACTGAACAATCATGAGCTCGGTACAAAGATCATATAGACATACTGTACGATCCTCCACATAAAAAAGTAACATATACAACATTTGAAATTTTCATTTTTAAAAAATACATTATGATACCGGACACTGAGTTAAGTTAACCAAGTTAAAAGAAGGGCTGGGTGAAAAAACAACAAAAAAAACAAAAAAAACAGACAAATGCAGCAAAATAGTGTTAAGGCGAAAACAGATGAGCACGGAGACAGGAGAAAAAAAAGAAAAAAAGAAATGTAGGTCAGTGCGCTTCGAGTTTCCTTTTTTTTGTCTTCTTGTCTTTCTTCTTGCCAGCGCATTTCACACAGAACCACGACTGGTCATCCGGAGGGGCGGCTAAAAAACCCACACATGGCCTGAAGGAGAGAGAAAGAGATCGACGAGTCTCACTTACAAGTTGTTTGTCATGATACCGATCTATATCATTCAAGTTTATGTGCCAAGTTTGCACTTCTCATATATTGGTACATAAATTCAAAATGGAGATTCAAAAAAGCATGTCTTTTACATATAAAACTACTTGATCATTCTCAGCATCAAAATATCTATCCGCTTTCATCATGAAATAGACACAATTTGTTCTCTCTATGTGTGTGATCTGTAAGCGAAACGCATCAAAAAGATGATTCCCATAAAGCGTTACAGTAATACCAGGCAATCTAGGCTCTTTTTTTTATTTATTGGCACTTCCTCTGATTTACTTTGTGTTGAAATGAAACTGAAATGAAACAACTATGTAACTTTATTTAATCAAAACATACTGCATTTTGAGCTTGTATGTCAAAAAAAGGAAGTGTCTTGTGCACCACACAAGTCATTGTATGACTTCAGGAGAAGATGAAATCAAAACTGAGACAACTTTCTTATAGATAAAACATCCCATCTACAGTTCTTTCTGTAGAACACAATCTGTTTTCCTTGGAAATTATATCACATTACAGAAAAAAATATACATCAGTGTTTGGTGAGTGTGTAACGTAAGAGAAGCTGGAAAGAGCTTTTACCAGTGATACCAGTCGTCACACTCGTCACATCCGGTCATGGGACTGCCGTCATCAGGTTTATTACATCCTGGACAAATCCAGATCTTATTACCCCTTTCATCTAGAATCTGTGATGAACAAACACAAGAATCAATATATTAAATCAAAGGAATTTGGAAGTGTTACATCTGGCATTGGTCAAAAAGGAAAGTAAAAACAAGTGCTATTATATGTATGTCACATCCTCTATCATTTCAAGTTGAAGGTCAAAATAAGCCGTTCTTTTAGCTAGAAAAACGTTTTCAATGCATTTATAAGCATTTCGTTCTCAATCATGAAATGTATGTTTGAATAAATCTAATTAAATCAAATAATGCCTAGAAAATAATTAACGACAACAATTTGTAATTCAGTGCATAAAATTCTAAATGTGTTTCTTGGTCAAAGCAAAGGTCAAACTGATAAAGAAAGTGACACGATATTTATATAAAACGAATAACCTCTTGTACCTTAGCTCAATTATAAAATGGAAAGTTTCATCTTTAAATTCTGATTGGAAGTCACACAAAGCATGATACACATCTGTAGAACTGTATATTGCCGTATTATATAATTGCGTGATAACTGTAAATAGCCTAAAACTAGAATTATTGATTGTGTAATTAAGAAATGAATATGAATATAAAAAATATTAATATAATATATATGATTATTAATACAAATTATATTTAAAATGAATCCAGTAATTCATTTCCAATAGTGTTCTCGTGTGTATATTTGAGACTTACCACGTATGCACTGACGGTCTGTGTGACGACGCTGCACCCCCGTGACTTGGCCTGGCTGGGTGGCGTCTGAATGGGGGCGGCTGGGGGCAGGACAGGAGGAGGGCGGGGTGGAGGTGCTACAGGTGCCAGGGCAGGTGGAGGAGGAGCTGGAGGGGAACGCATCCGAGCTCCCGGACCCGACCTGGCCGTGGTGGAGGAGGGAAGTGGAGGAAGTGTCCGTGGTGGAGGAGGGAAGGGTTCTGACTCTGGGAACACCTTACTGATCATACTGGTGAAGGAAGAGAGAGGGAGAAAGGGTTACATACCATATCATCTCATTTATTTACATGAATTGATAGTTTATTGTACTACTGTTTGTTAAATATAATTAATAATGATATGTAGCTTATATATGTTCATTATATACATATATTTTACGTTTGCCTATGCCCTTATATGTACAGTGCTTAGCATAAGTGAACACACCCATGCTAAAGTTGACTAAAAAGAGGAATAAAAAATTATATTTTGGAAATTGATCTTAATGCCTTAATTTAAAAAAATGAGGGAAAATCCAACCTTTAAGGACACCATTTTTCTTTGTGAATGAATAATGTATCGTAAATAAATAAATGTTCTTCCTTAAAATACAGGGTACATAAGTGAGGACACCCCTAATAGCCTAATAGCTGGTTTGATTTGCATTGAGAGATGATCTTATGGAAAGTGCCCCATGCTAATCTCTAGGTATGGCGAAGGGAATGTGATGATGTGGGGATATTTTAATTCCAAAGGACAAGGGAACTTTATCAGGATGCATAGTATACTGGATCCATGAAACAACTGGCCTTTAAAAATAAAAATCTGCCTGCCTCTATGGGAATTTAACATAGGGGTGTCCTGACATATGCAACCTGTATTTTAAGGATGAACATTTATTTATTTACGATACATTATTCATTCACAAAGAAAATTGGTGTTCTTAAAGCAGCACTATGTAGTTTTTCACCCAATTTTGTATCTATTGTCAATGCAGTGCAGCAGCTAGCAGACCTAGAGCAGGCTGTCTAGCGTGCCCATTGGCTGCCCTGCGGCAACTGCAGCAGCCTACCAGTGAGCCCGGCGTGACGTCACGTCCAATGAAGGGCGCTCGCGCCCTCAACGCGTCCTAGCCCGCCAGAATGGGCATGGCTTTGCGTATATACGCGGGGCTCGGAGGCTGAATCTCTGGTTTTCATCGACTGAAGCGAAAAAGCGCTCGTTGCGCGAGCATGGCAGGTTACGCAATACTCGTTCCCTCATCTAGAGAGAACCGAGGTTACGTTAGGTAACCGATTTGTTCTCTTACGAGAGGTTCTCTCGTATTGCGTAAGTTTAGCTTACGCTACGGGAACCCTTTGTCAATGCCGTGCGCGCCAGCATCCACATGAGTCCCAGAGAAGCTCGGGGAACCCAGATGAGCGGGAATAAGCGCATGCACATAAGCACTCGCAGGGAATACAGAGCGGCGATGCCGGTCAATGTATAAGCATATAGCTCAACCAGAAGAGCTGAGTCATATGAGAGTAGCCTGCGCACGATAATACCTGGACAGAACTGACCTCTCACTGACCTCTCAGCCTGCAGGGCGGGAACTTCCAGGTTATAGAACCTGACAAAGGTGGACGGGGAGGCCCAGCCCGCCGCCACACATATGTCATTGCAGACCTTTTGATGCATAAGCAGCCGCAATAGCGTCCACTATCCATCTGGACAGACTCTGTTTCGAGGCGGCGAGACCCTTGGCGCGCCCTCCAAACGAAACGAAAAGCTGCTCCGGGCGCCTGAAAGGGGCGGAGCGCGTAATGTAAACCCTCAGCGCCTTGACCGGGCAGAGGAGATTAACATCGCTCTCACTATCGGATGCAGGCAGAGCCGATAGGGAAATGATCTGTGCTCTGAACGGAGTGCCAATCACTTTAGAACATATCCATGTCTAGGTTTGGGGATGACTTTTGAGTCATTCGGTCCGAACTCAAGACACGCAGCGCTGACAGACAGCGCGTGTAAGTCCCCCACACGTTTGACTGATGACAGCGCGATCAGGAAAACGGTTTTGAGTGACAGGTATTTTAGATCCGCAGAGTCTAAAGGTTCAAAGGGGTATGCTTTCAGGGCCTCGAGGACCAAGGAAAGATCCCACATAGGAACAGACGGGGGGTGCGGGGGATTCATCCTCCTAGCTCCTCTAAGGAAGCAGATGACAAGCTCGTTCCTTCCTAATAACTGGCCGTGCGTCGATTCTGAGAACGCTGCAACGGCCGCCACATATACTTTAAGCGTGGAGGGGGACCTGCCCTTGTCCAACAGCTCTTGAAGGAAACTAAGCAACCGCGAGACCCCACACCTTTGTGGGTCCAGGTTTTTGTCAGCGCACCATTTAGAGAACACAGACCATTTAGACGTGTAGAGCCTTCTGGTAAAAGGAGCTCTAGACTGCGTGATTGTGTTCATTACTGTCTGTGACAGCCGCGTCAGCTCCGGGAACCAAGTCTGGTTCACCCATCGCAGGGCTATGAGGAGCACTGAGTGGCACGTTTCCCTGATTCTCTTGATAACCTGTGGCAACAGAGAGACCGGAGGGAAAGCATATGGTGGGCGGCTGGGCGAGGTTTGGGCCAGCGCATCCTCGTTCTTTGAAAAGAACTTTGGGCAGTGAGCGTTGTCTTGTGACTCAAAGAGGTCGACTTCCGCTTTGCCAAAAAGGCGCCATAGCAACTGGACTGTTTGGGGGTGCAGGGACCATTCCCCCGGGGGAACATTGTTTATCTGGGCCGTCGTTCAGGTGGCCTGGCACATGCGCAGCTCTCAGCGAGCGCAGATGGTGCTGAGACCAAGCGAGGAGGCGTTCTGTCAGATTGCAGAGGTTTCTGGATCTGACACTGCCCTGGCAGTTCACGTAGGACACTTCAGACATGTTGTCCGAACGGACTAGAACGTGGTGGTCCTGTATGAACAGGAGGAAACGCTCCAGCGCGTTCTCGACCGCTATCATTTCCAGACAGTTTATATGGAGGAGTTTCTCCTGGTCTGACCACAGGCCAAAGGCCGGTCTGCCCTCGAAGAGAGCGCCCCAACCCGAATTGGACGCATCTGTCGAGATGACCTGTCGGTATGAGACAGTTCTCATAATCACTCCCCGCTGGTACCAGTCGGCCGCTAACCAGGGCTGCAGAGCTGTAATGCAGCTCTGAGTCACTCTGATCCGCTCGCAGCCGGACTCCCGAGCTCGGTGAGACACACGAGCGGCCAGCCAGCGTTGCAGAGGGCGCATGCGCAGCAAACCCAGCTGAAGTACCACAGCAGCTGAAGCCATATAGCCCAGCAACCTCTGGAATGTCTTCAGAGGAGTGGTGCTGCCCTTCTGGAAAGACGCGGCCAGTCGCTGAACACGGCGCGCGGGCTGTGTTGATAAGCGAGCCGTCATGGCCACAGAGTCCAGTTCTATTCCTAAAAAGGAAATTGACTGGCTGGGCAGTAATGAGCTCTTGGTCCAGTTGACCGTGAGACCCAGGCTTTCCAGATGACTGAGGAGCGCAGCTCTGTGAGATAATATTTCTGTCTCTGACTGCGCCAGAATCAGCCAGTCATCCAGATAGTTCAAAATTCGCATGCCCTGAGTTCTCAAGGGGGCGAGAGCCACGTCCATGCACTTCGTGAATGTACGGGGTGCTAAAGACAGGCCGAACGGCAGGACGGTGTATTGATAAACCTGATCGTCGAAGGCGAATCTCAAGAATGGCCTGTGACGGGGTATTATCTGAATCTGAAAATCTGAATCTGTGGGGTATGCCATGTCCAGGATGTGACCTCAAAATCTTTCAGAGGTCAAAGTTGACCCGTGTCCATGTTTTCACGTGCATCAGAGGAGCTGCAGTTGAGATCTCGCAAAAATGTACACTTTACCGATCATTATTTTTTGTTATTGCTGATACAAATCGGTACTCTTTAATCTCTTACTTTCATCACAGATAAACAGTGCATCCCACAAGTCTTTCAACATAAAAAAAAAAAGTTAAACATAAACAACATCTAAAGCTTTGTGCTTATGTAAATGAAATAAAACACAAGGACAGACATAAAAACACATTTTCCTCTTGAAAGGACTGCTGATTGTGTTTTTCCACACAGCAGACTACAGGTGCACGAACACAGGCAACATCAGAGGCCTGACGCACTGAGAATAAAGGCCATGCTGTACAAACAGATACACGCTCAGACGTAAACAATACTGCTTCCTGTCCTGCATGCAGGTGGAACTGAAGAGGTGAGGTAGAAATTCAAAAGCACAGTCAAAACACAGTGTAGACACTATACTTTCTGAGTCGAAATCGCACTGGCCATTGAAGCGACATCAGTCACATGTAGACGTTCAGGAATCAGTAATCGTCTTACCTGTAGTATGGCGATATGTGTGTGTGAGGGGGTTAAGTGGTGTGAACACTAGCGCTATTGATAGGAATGTGCAGGAGGGGGCCATGATGCAGGGTGTGTGTGTGTTTGCCCCCCTCAAAGACCTCATGGGCCGTCTGGGACTGGTCACAAACTCAAAGCCTGAAACTCACACCTGTACACAGACTCAGAGACTCTGACCACACAGAGAGCTGCCTGATAGTCTCAACTCTTCATGTGTGTGTGCGTGTATGTGTGTGTGTGGTACTTACATCTTGTCTTGTCCAGCGCCCACTCTGACGGTCATGAAAGGACACAGTGGGACAGCGGGAGAAATATCAGCCTGAACAGAGACAGAAATCATTTGAAATATATAGCAATTCCCATTTTATTTTCTCCCAAATTCTGTTTTTCAAGTCTCTGTATTTTATGATTTAATACAAATTTATCATCAAAAACAGTATCTAATAAAATAAATTTATAAAACTTCAAAAATGTAATCTTCTAAAATGCAATTTATTTGAAAAAGTATGTATATTACAAATGTTAATTTTGATTTATCGCCATGCCCTCTTTTAACTTTCTTTAATGCTGTTGTCTATCCAATAGGAATTCACAAATGTTATACTAATTACCGATAATCTCACGGTAACCGATATTCTATTCAATGTAATAAATCTATTCCATTTTGCCTGTATTTTGAAACAATCACATTAAAGCTGTGATAATGATAATTTTACATGCTTCTTGGTGAAATAAGGTGACAAAACATTATAATGTATAGCATAAAAGTTCTAAAATAAGCTATAATCTCTTTTTCTTTAACTGAGTTTTAAAAGAATACTATTTTATATTACAAAATTCAAAAGAATGGCATTAAGGCCTGTTTACACCAAGGACAATAACTATAAAGATAACCATAAAGATATATTTCTCAAAATTAAAAAATAGCAGAGTTCATACCTCAGCTATTAACGATAACGGCACAAAAAAACCCGATATTGTTGGAATCACTTTCAGAACGATTTTATCCAGCTGATGAATGATAAAAACATTGACAGCCAATCAGAATCCATCCTGCTGTAACGAGCTCGAGCATTTAAAGCGACAGACAAGCACGTGCTTAAAAATAAACAGAACGATATCCTCCGCTGGTGTGGATGCTAATAGTTATCTTTATAGTTATCATTGGTATCTTGGTGTGAACGGGCCTTTATGATTATATATAATGGTTTATAACTGTCAGTTTTCAAGCCAGTTTTGTACATTGTGCAGCTAAATGCAGTTGTCACTCCTCTTTTGAGTGCCTTCTAACCGTTCTTACAGGATCGTTTACAGGATAAGCAACTGCATTCTAAAATTGAACTGAAAAATGCAGGTACTGACAACCAAATTTTTACTGAATCCACAGTGTGTGTATGGAACCAAACAACTGCTTCAGTATCAGTTCTACATGCTCAAAACATGGTGTCTCAGGTTACGACAGACACAAATTGGCGGATATTAATATGTCAAAAGTAGCTAATATCACTTTTGTCTAAAATAACAATCACCAAACAGGTCAAACTGTTGGAATACATGTTTAATTAACAGCTGCAAGACGACAGAGCGATACAAATGTTGGTACAAGTGGTTTAGGGTAGTTGGATGGACACCGTATTCCTCATACACATGGAACGAATACTTAAAACCGAGGTTATCTTTCCCAAAACTTACAGTTTTTACATAATCGTGAAAACCTAAAGTCAGCTATAAAACTACAAATCAGCTACTAATAGGGATAAGAGCACATGGCCTCACCTCAGACACTCGCACTTAACACGGCAACATGGACAACATAGTGTCCTGCTAATCCAGTTTAGCTAGCACCAGGGTCAGTCCTCCTGAAAGAACTTCACCTCTACCCAATATCATTTCTATCACCTGTTTGTAGAAATCCTCAAGTTTCTCTCTAAGCAAGGAGACAGATTTTGCCACACCATCAAAGGAAATTGGAGAGGAGGAAGTAATGGGTACATCTGAATATTCGGGAGGAACTGAGTAAGACTTGAAACTCTACAGACAAAGACAAACATAACACACCGTAGACACATTAATTCTACTTTTCACATAACAAACAATAAATGCAACCAGATTTCCCAGCCATTTTTATAAATTGCGTTTAAAAGCAAGGGGTCAGTAATGTTCATTGCTTTCCTTTTTTTCTTTTTTTTTTTTGAAGAAATTCATACTTTTATTTAGCAATTATTTTTGAGCATCAAATCAGCAATTTAGTAAACATTACCTGCAAATCAGAATTCAACTAAAGACCTGCTTTAAGAATAACATTACCTGGAGGAAATTGCTGTGATAGGCTGTGTGTGAAAGCTGCTCTAGCTCAGCATCTGTCCTCTTCAGATCATCGATCTCTTTCTCCAGTCGCCTCAAGAGTCCTTCAGCTCGACTCACTGCAGCTTTTTCCTGATCTCTGATCCGCTGTGTGAACTGAGAACGTCTTCTCTTAATGGAGTGGATCAGCTCAGTAAAGATCTTCTCACTGTCCTCCACCGCTGCCAGTGCAGAGCGCTGTAACACGACACACAGTCCTGACGTTAATCCAACAGTGAACACAGATGGTGTTCTTCTCATGTGCTCAAAACTCACCTTGTGTGACTTTACAGTCTCTCTCAGCTCCTGAACATCTTTCTCTTTCTGCTGGATTCTCTTTTTAAACTCAGTCTGTGTCTTTGTCAGCTGTTCCTACAGGACAAAAATGCAATGTGCAAGTTATAGTATAGTGCAAATATTTTAAAATACTCTATTTATTTTGAGGTTAGAAAAAAAGTGGAATATAAAGAATTTTAGATCTATAAGTCAATACAAAGTCTATAATTGTTAGTTTTTTTAATAGGTTTCTCTATATAATTTTCAGAAATGACAGTAGCAATACTTGAGTAAATGAATGAATGAATGAACAAATGAACAACGAACAAAGAAAATTGAATAAAATTAATAAAATCCGCACTCATTATTGTGGTTTAGGTCATAAATTACTTTGTCTTTATTTACCACAAATCCTTTCTATATCTATAAATCTATTTATCTTTATAGACAGACAGAAAGACAGACAGACAGACAGACAGACAGACAGACAGACAGACAGACAGACAGACAGACAGACAGACAGATAGATAGATAGATAGATGATAGATAGATAGATAGATAGATAGATAGATAGATAGATAGATAGATAGATAGATAGATAGATAGATAGATAGATAGATAGATAGATAGATAGATAGATAGATAGATAGATAGATAGATAGATAGATGATAGATAGATAGGCTATTATATTTAAAAAGCTAATAAACCCAGTATATTAGATAGATAGATAGATAGATAGATAGATAGATAGATAGATAGATAGATAGATAGATAGATAGATAGATAGATAGATAGATAGATAGATAGATAGATAGATAGATAGATAGATAGATAGATAGATAGATAGATAGATAGATAGATAGATTGATTGATTGATTGATTGATTGATTGTATACATAAAAAAGTAGACCCTTCTCAGTCGTAAAGTTGCTACAGTGACAGCTCACTTCCAAAAGGGCGTCACCAACGGACGTCGCTCAAATGCCTCTGAGTGCCGAAGTTATGACGTCACTTTGTAGGCCAAACGCGGAAGTGAGTTAGCATTTTAGCACTCCCGGTTCCCTCGCCCTAAAGTCTATGGGGTTTTTTAATGGGTTTTTGCTAAATCGCCTGAAATAAGGTCTGTGGTGAACAAAGCCTCTTAATATTTTCTGCTTGTGGTTTTTTAAACTTTATTGTGTCTGCTTGTATTTTTTAAAAACTTTAATATAGGCTTCAAAATGTATACATTTTTGATTAACTATTATCTTGATAGACAAAACGTGTAAGGGTCACAACTCTTTGTTGAACACAGATCTTATTTTTTGCGATTTTCCAAAAGTCTATGGGGAAAGTGCATAGCTTTTAGCTTTGCTTTAGCATTTGTTATAGATATATCTGTACCGCGAAATGTTTTAAAAAGACACTTTTTTAATGACGTACGATTCGCATTGACAGGGGAATGTCCGAACTGTTCGCTTAACGTTGCACGGCAGGTGCAAATGCACGTATCTGATTCATATCAGATTTATTTCCACATATGAATGAGGCCTGAAACATCAAGTATGACTGAACTCTCGCAGTTTAACGTTACAAGTTTGGGGGTTTCTAAGTCTTGCACCCAGCCGCAGCAGACTTGTTCAGCTTCTAATGACTTAAACCTTCTGAACTCTTGCATTGTGTAGGCAGTAACGTAAGTCACTGATACCATAAACAAACCAGGTAATTAACTATGTCAGCGTATGTGAAAGGTGGTAGTGCTTTGGGTCTTTCGTCCATTCTGTAGCAGGTCGTACGGGTCCATGTTGATGTCAAGTAGTTTCTCTAACGCTGCTTGGTGTTGTTATTTAGTCTCTCCCGATAGAGCCCCTTTCCTTTTGCTTCCCCCTTCTTCATTTATTCCCAAGAAACTGTCCCTTATCGCAAAAATGCAAACACATATCAAGCTGCTCTCTTTCTGTCGCTATTTCTCTCGGTCTCACGGTCGAAGTAACCATGACAACGGATAGCGTATCCTACCAAGATGGCGAATCCTTCCCACAATGCAACGCGGAGTGATACGCGTGACGTCACCTTCTCATTCTCACCAGGGGGCATAAGCGGGGGAATCACAGTACTTATGGAGACTATATAAGGAAGTTACAGGTGAATGGCGGCAGGGAATTAGGATCTGAGGAAGCTCACAGTTTTTCAACCGTGCTTGTGTGCATGTGTGTTGATGGCTTGATGGATTCTGGTGTGTCCTGCAGTTAGTATGGTGTTTACTGTCTTTTGCTGATGTACGAACTCAACTTGCTTCAGAAGTGCAAGCAGCAGGGGTTTTTCAAGTAGTTTTATGTACAAAATAAAGTGTTAACCGCATGCCATGGCAGACCTGATTATTTTGCACCATCACGCGTTGGAGATGACCTCACATTCCCTCTAGTGGCTTTATTTTTGAGGTACGATCGCCACAACACAGCTAAAATAAATGTTTGCATTAGAATGTGTTCATCATACCTGCTTCTCCATCCTCTCTTCTACAGCTGTTACAGTGTCATGGTTTTTGTGTGCATCCATTCCACACAGATAACAAATGCTCTGCTGGTCAGTACGACAGTAGATATCCAAAAGTTTAACATGTTTATGGCAGATCACCTCCTGTAGTTTGCTGGTGGCATCCATCAAGTTGTGCTTCTTACCTTTAAAAAAATTCTCGTGTTGCTCGAGGTGATTTTGACAGTAGGAGTTGAGACACACTAAACAGGACTTGATGGCTTTGCATTTTGTTCCAGTGCAAATGTCACACTCCACATCTCCAGGTCCAGCGTAGCAGTGAGCAGGAACAACAGCATGGAGTTTTGTCTTCTTCAGATTCTCCAACATTTCAGCAAACACCACATTTGTACATAAGACAGGTCTTGGAGTGAAGGTCTGTCTGCACTGAGGGCAGCTGCTGTAAACTCCCTTCTTATCCTCCTGATTCCAGCAGTCTGTAATACAGTGCATACAGTAACTGTGTCCACAGGGAATGGTCACTGGATCCTTCAGTAGATCCAGACAAACTGAACAGCTCAACTGGTCCTGAGCCACGGAAATGCTGGCTTCTGCCATTTTACCGAGACGTAAAGAAGCTCAGTAATCTCTTTCCGTGATTTGATGAGTTTCCTGGTTTCGTCTTTGGGAAAGTGAAACTGTGAGGGTGCAGAACTGCAGCCAGCCGATAGAGGGCGCTCAAGTCTCAAACACTATTTTCTACTTCTGCCAATGATTGTATGCTATAAACGTCTATGGAAGCCTATACTTTTACGTTTGGACTTGATTTCATAATTATCATTTGTTATATTCTAATTTCGACTTTTTATGTTATAGTTTTTACTTTTTATACCATCATTTGGACTTTTATCTCATAAGTATGACTTAATATCTAATATAATGTACCCTTTTAATGTGATCTCTTTATTATGATTTACTAAAGCCATGGTTAATTTAGTTTGCTTTATTTTTTAAAACAAACATTTATATATATATATATATATATATATATATATATATATATATATATATATATATATATATATATATATATATATATAAATCAATTCGAGTAATAAAAAAAGCCTTAATTAATGTAGGCATATATTTTATGTTTTGCAGATAGTCTCAAGAATTGGAGCAGTTGATTATTTTACAAAGTTTCATAGCATAAACTTAAAAATGCCGAGATACCAATCAGAAAAATCGAGACAAGCCCCTCGGCCAAAATACAATAAATACTCTCCGAGATATGACGCACTTAAACGCGTAATGCTATTTACAACTTTTCACGTGACTTTGGTCTCACAATGTTTACAATGATCGCCAGGTGTGGTTTGTTCACATTCTACCACTAAGTTTCAATTTCTCTGCTACTCCCACGTCACTGAAGTGCATAATAACGATGTGAGATTTCGATGTGTGCGCCGTTTGCTTTCAGTTTGTGTCTTTTTAAAAATGCGTCTCGTATTTATATTGATAAACTCTGGGGGTTTTTTACAGCCTAGAAATATGGGTTTCTAGTTGAGTTTTCAATTAAAACCACTTGTTTCATGTTGTAGTTCATTTTACCTGTTAACAATGTTAGGTGAGTTTGCTGGTTTGACACTGGAGGATAAAGTGGAATATATGGACACATCTGAAACGCAATGGTACTGGTATTACAAAGCAAATTGTGGTGTCTGGCACAGAGTTGAGGTAATGTCTTATTTATACAGTGTGTTCCATTGCAACTGATAGCCTTCATAATATATTACAAATGTTTGTTGTAGGATGACCCAGAAAACTTTATGTTCAGTGATGATTTGGAGAGATATTACCTCAGAAACCCACAAGGGGTTATAAACATGACTGCAGCTGGAGTTCAGATACAGATCAACTTTGCAGGTAAACAGTTTCTACAGATGATAACCTTATTCATATCTAGGGGGGATAACTTTAGGACATTTTCAACTAACAAATTTAGAAATACTAACTGTAGTAGTAGCAACATATAATGTAAATCAAATAACTACATAGCCTTGTTGAATTATACACCCTTGACAGACCTCATGAACAGTGTTGGGGAAAGTTACTTTGAAAAGTAATGCATTACAATATTGTGCATTACTTAGTTACTTTTTAAGAAAAGTGACGTGTTACTTTACTTTAGCGTTACTCACCTGGGCTTGTTTCGGGTTTTTTAAATAACAAAAAAGTTACATTTTGGGCAAATGTAAAGGCCCTTTCACACCAAAATGTAAATAATAAGTCTGAAGAAAATGCAAATTCACGTGTGTACAGTGCGCCGCTCAAACAAACCTTTCAGCTGGATTGCAGTAGAAGAAAGTTTAACTTACTTCACCAATAAAAACAAAAAATCTAAAGTAAATTTTGCTTATGGTTTAACTGAATCATCGAAGGTCAGAAGCAAGTACATTGGTCAATAAAGTAAAATTATATGCATAAAAATGTATGTTTCATTTAACATTAATTATTGCAGGTTTGCTTAGTATTCTGATTTTATTCATTTTGAGGAATACTGAATCTTTTTTTGTGCAAGTGAGATGAGTAAATGCACGCTCACATTTAGTCTAGAACTACAATAACTATCATGTTTTAACAACGCCTCTGCACTTACTCCTGATTTTTTACTTATTTGATTACTTATTTGAAAAAAGTAACAGATATTTAGTTATAAATTTAAAATGAGTTACTTTACTAATTACTTGAAAAAAGTAATCTGATTACATAACTCGAGTTACTTGTAATGCTTTACCCCCAACACTGCTCATAAATGTGTACGAATATCAATATCTAAACTAATATCAGTCATTGTTTTATTTTTAATTAATAATATGTATTCAAATTTAGCAAGGACACAGTCCAACTTAAAAACTGGGAAAACAAGGAAGATTAAACGCTCATTTCTGACTGAGATTGGCTTCAGGTGAGATATTTTTAATTCATTATTCAGTATTTGGACACTTAAGCCACACGTTTTAAGCAACACATTTGACAAAAAGAAACAGTTTGGGAATGAAATCATAAAAAGCAATAGATATACTGTAGAAATTTAGAGAAATTTTGGTGAAAGTAATACTTCGTGGTGCATCCATTCCATTTCTTTTTCAACGAAACGAAGCGAAGCCAACCTTATAAGATGTATGTTTTGTGTGACAGATGCAAATGCGATGACATTTCCCAATCTCTACCAGCACACTGGGAGGATTTTGATCCCAAAAAACCTTATCAGGTGACAGGAAGTGCTTATCATAGTGCTACATTCTTTTCTTTTTTTTACAGTCTATGGGTTGTGGGAACTGTGGTGACTTTCTCTTTGAAAATGTTCTCTTATCCCAATCAGTTAATCTCTCTGAGAAAAGAGAGCAGCGAATATCAGAAGATGGAGAGATATGTCAGGGATGTCGGCTTACTGCGTGATCCCATGATCGTATCCATCAACAGAATACAAAACGTGGATCTTTGGGAATTGTTTTGTAGGTAATAAGAATGTCTTGCTCCATCTAGGACCATTTAGTGAATATCACAAAAACCCTAAATTTTTGCCTGCATTTTTGGATTCCTAGGAAAAAAACCCAGTTGATGAGGATAAAAGGACAATCAGATATCGAAGAGCAAATGCTGTTTCACGGCACAAGCGCGAAAAACGTGCACTCTATTTGCACGTTTAATTTCAATTGCAGACTATCAGACAAGAGGAGACGGGGACACGTATTAGGGAAAGGTGGTGGTTCTGATATTTTTTTAAGTTCTTCTCACATTTCAAAGAAAGTTTATAATAACAACTGATTTTTTTTTGTTGCAGGAACCTACTTTGCGAAACACGCATCCTTAGCTACCAGATATAGTGAAAACGGCAGCCAAAGTACCAAAGTAATGCTGGTCGCCCGTGTTCTCGTCGGCAAGTACAAAACAGGCCATCAAGATTATTGTACACCCGATGATGACCAGGATGAAAACATACATGATAGTTGTGTAGATGATGCAATCGGTCCAAGGATTTTTGTTATCTTTGATTCCAATCAGATATATCCCGAGTATGTGCTTGAATATCGCTGAAGATAAACGTATCACCGCAACAATGAATGCTGAAGAATTGGTGAAATGTGTGTAAAATGCCAGAATGTAGTATATATAAAGGAATCTTTGGGGAAATATTTGGGATTTTATGCATTTTAGAGGTATTTTGCTGTTTTATTTTCATCCAGATACAGTAAACGCATCAGAACCTCACATGAAGAATTGTTTTCCTGCTACGCTTTGGCCAAGAATAAAATAATTGAGAGAGAACAGAGCTTCACAATCTTGATGAAATCAAGAGGATTTTATTCACATCATCAATCCAATCACAGAATTGATCACCAAATGTTCATTTTGGGAGACACATATCCCCCAAAAAATGGGACAGTTACTTCCAAAATCAAGAATCAAATAAACGTATATTACTTATCACCTCAATGTCATGTTTTTTCTTCCACTATCTCAATGTGCATTCACTTCTAAATGTTCTTTTTTCCTTAAAAGAAAAGCTCAACCAAAAATATCAATTTCGACCGAATGACTCGCTCACTTTCACAGTCGCTTCAAACACGTGTGACTTTTTTTTTTCTTTCGTGGAATGCAAAACTGAGAAATTTTGAACAATGTACCAGTCAATCTTTTCCATGCAAATACAATGAATTGGAACTAGAGTTGGATCTTTTCAATTAATCAGTTAATAACAAAACCATTTGTTCGGTAAATAACGAAATTCACATTTGGGTGAACTACTCTTTTAAATCCACAATGTGTATTTTCTGCGGGAAACGGAAGTCCAGCATGACAGTATTGGCTCATCCAAAGGCTAAAGATTGTGGTGGGACAAATCTTATCATTTTTGCAATTCTGTTTGGTGCTGCTTGTGGAACAGAATTCACACAGTGCTTTAAAATATAACTTACTCATCTCTCTGTGATTGGCTAACCAGAGAGATTCAGTCAAAGTAGTCTTCAATGTCAATATTAGGATTAAGAAGCTCTTCGCCATATCGGGATAAGTCCATTTGGTTGAGAATGAGGTTTTCGAAGGTTTCCTCCAGATCCGTCTCTCCGATAAGGACGGCCCCCACCATTCGGCCCCCGGTCAGAACCACCTTTACATACTCCTGCCCTTTTGTACAGCGCACAAGAAGCTCATGGTCAAAGCCCAAACCCTGAGCATTAAACTTCCCTAGCAAAACCACCTTAAAAACAAACAGACAAACAACAGACATTAAACGCGTGCTAAATGGATTGTCAAAACTGACAACTACTTTTGTGCAATTCATTCATTAATTGAGAAAGCTAGCAAACACGCTGCATAATTATGTATTATAATATTATTTTTATTATAATAAATTAATGGTTACAAAATTACTTAAAAAATCATGTAACTGCAAATTACCCATTAACATGTTATGAGACAACAAATGAAGGATTTACAAAAAAACAACTGATGAATATTTTACAATGATTTAAATATCTTAATTTTTTTATTTATATAATATATACATATAAGTCAATTATACATGCACCTTAAAGAAGTTATTCACATTCAAATAAATTGTTTGATTTCTTTAAAGCTTTGTCATATTGCCATATTATGAACATTTAACATTTCAAATATTTATGTGCTAAAATATTTCTATTTCATAATAATCAGTTCTACATATTCAGGGACGCAATGTGAAGCTTTGATGACTCCCTGTGCTTTTCCACCAAAAATAACCATTTGAAAGCAAAGAAATTAAGACAGATATAAATATTAGTACTGCAATTTTACGGTTGTTCCTTTAAATTTAATAATAATTATTATTATTGATAATATTATTGTTACTATTAACTCATATTGTATTGTATAGTACAAAAGTCGTATTACTATAGTATTTCCTAATATAGTATGTATATCTGTATTGATTTGTTTCATTTTAAAAACTTAATACAATAAAAAAAATCAATAAGAATAATTATTATTGAATACTTATTTTGAATGGGTTCCATAAAAACAATAGTGTGAATATGGCCTGAAACAACTGAAGTAGTGGAAGTTTTTTAAACGTCTTTTTCACTGATATTTCCGATATTTCCATATAAAGTTTCCTCTGCGTACATTTTAATGAAGTAAATTCCTTCTGTCATTCCATTTCGGACTCACCTTAAATTCTCAAATTCAGATTGTCATTTAGTCTAAGAATGAGAAAATATATGAAATTTAAAAAAGAGGGGAGTTACCAACAAGAAAAGAACACATTTTTGAAGAAGCAGACATAAACAGAAGTACTCACCTTGTAGTTGAAGAACTTGGTGATGTGTGTGAACAGCTCAAAGCAGAAGTCCAGCTCTATGGGCTCCTCCAGCACATCTGCAGCCATACACCGCGCCGCGTACCAGCCCATCTGACGCGCCTGAGTCCACAATCGCATCTTCACGGAACAGGAGAGACGATTTAGAGAAGTTCATCTTCAGTGCATTACAGTAAAGAGAATCACTGACCCAGAATCGTAAACCATTGTGTCTATAACAAGTATCAGGTATAAGTATATATATACCTGTTGCCAGAGAGCGCTGGGCTTCCAGCCGGCAGTGCACACGTCACCAGCCGCATACACATCCTGTTCGGACGTCCGCATGTGATCATCCACTCTCAGACCATGATCTTCTGCAAGATCAAACTACAATGGGGAAAATATTAAATGCATAAGGGATATAACAAATGGGCCACTTGCTATTCATGCTATTTCATTGAGACAAGTAGCTCAATTTGCCAAAATGTACCCTACAAAAGTAGAAAAGGTACATTGCTTTGCATGGCATATATATGATATGCTTTTTATTAGGTATACACTGACAACACCAAACCAATAATTCAAATTCTAGAGCATTTTGTTTTTAAAGATTAATGTCTAGGTTACCTAATGTAACCCCTGTTCCCTGAAGGAGGGAACAGGTTTTATATAATATTTTATATATAATCATTATATTTTAGTTCGCTATCAGTCAGTTACGTCCTAAAATCGAATATAGACACGTACTGATTATGACTACTATTTTGCACATTTTATGATAATAATAGTAAAAATAATGATAAAATCTAAATTTAAATGACTGAAAATATTGTGGTTTTGAAGATTTTACTATTACTCGAAAATGTAGCAAGTGACTATTTATAAATTCATTTTAAGTTAATTTTTTAATGAACAAATTCCAATATTTACCAATAAGGATAATTAGACAATACTATATATATATACTTAAAATTGAAAAGTGAAATAAATGTGTCAATTCAGATGCATATTTATTTTACATTGTTGCCATGGAGAAAAGGTTCAGTGTTCGGCACGACACCGGTTGCGCTGACAACGAAATCACAGCCATAAACCTTCCCATTGTTTAACTGGACATAAGCTGGCCACATCCCTATGGAAAGTAAAAAAAAAATATATATATATATATATATATTAGCTGTAAAACACTGAGGGTTCATTTTTGTTTAACTGAATGATTTTATTTAGAATAACCTAATTCAGATTTCTTTGTGCTGAGTTTGGACTGCAAAAACTCCTGTTGTGTGAAGATCTCATCAACCTCACACTCGTATTCTATATGGACTCCGCTGGAACTCTGAGAGATGAAAAAAAAGAAAGAAAGAATGAGAATTAAGTGACAAAAGATTATTTTCACCATTTTAAAGGTGCATTGCGCAACTTTTCATGTTAAAAATACCTGTTTTTCTATCCTATACATGCTTAAAGAACTACCTGATGGGCTAAATGAGCCCTTCTCTGCGCACTGAGATTGCCTCTATAATCCTGTACAGTAAAATATATAAGAGGGATTCGGGCTCGAATCTGAGACTGGGCGTGACGTCATGCGCGTTCACGCTCACCAGGCTATGTCTCGCAGGTTTGTGTATTCGCCGGCGCCGCCATTCTCCGCATCAGCGAAGACAACTCGTGCGTCAAAGGTAGAAGATGGATTCAAAGAGACCGGCTCGTAGTCCATTCCAAACCCCAACGCAAACTCCACGTAAAGTAAAGAAAAGAAAATTTTTGTCTAGTGCCACCAAAAGGTCCAAATTGGAGTCAGACAGGCGTCGGAGTAAGACGAGAGTCAACCTCGGGAAGGCATTCAACAAATGGAGAGATCTCCGGTCTGCTCTTGGTCTCAAACGGGATCCTCAGTTGGCTTTTCTCTTGATAAAACGGTAAGATATAGCCCAGTCTCTAATGTTTGATACGGCCAATCTATGTATGACAACAAATGACGATGCGTAAAATGTGTAATGCTTTAGCGTAAGCTAGATACATGTACAATCAGAATTGGTTTTACTACCATTGTTAGTAACAGTTTCATAAACTAGGAATTGTGTTCGGAAAGAATAGTACAACATGAAACATAAAACATATCCAATAAAAGATGCGTGTGGTCCATGAGCGTGCACGACTCTGGTTGCAGTTTCGCTTGTCGCCAGAGGGGGCGTAGTTCTGCAAAAACTCAGAGACTTGCGTTTTTGCACCTTTAAGGTGGCTAATGAACAAAAGCAAACAAAAAAATGTATACAAACCTGCCCTGCTCCTCTAAATTCAATCCCTTCATGCCAATCTGGGCCCAAAGCACTGCCAAGCTCCCCTGAAGCCCCACTGGGGCCTGCTATGAAACATACACATGCGCAATTCAGATTTTCATGACCTTTAAATTGTTTTTTTTTATTGCAAGTAGATGTGAGAACAGAATATTTTTTTCAAAGAAAAACGTGTTTCAAAGTGCAAGTTTTTCAAAACGATACCTCTATCGTCTCCGTGTAAACTACAAAAAGTGTGAATTTGTGAAAACGGTGACGTAATGCATGTGCGTATTACGCTTTCAGTCTACAGGCGCGTAGTGTTTCTTTACAAAGTGACATCGCCAACTACTGGCCGGGCATGAATATTACAGCATGTTTAGTCGTATACACTGATCCATTTGAACGGGGACCGTTTTGACAACTTGTCGCCTTTTCAAAAATGCATCGTTGTTGCGTAAACGTACCCTTAAAAAAATTTAAAATAAAACAAAACTAAAATCAGTGAATTTAAGTGAAACGTTATAATGTTCATTATAGTATATAACAGAATAAAACTTTGATTTTAAGATCTGAGTTGACAATAGTGAGATTTAATGTAATTATTGGTGTGTGATTTTTTTAAAGATCAACTTTAAGTGCACATTTCATTCAATTGTATTAATTATTAAATCAATTTGTATTTTATTAGCGAGAAAACAGGCTTTTTTTCGCCCTTTACTTTATAACAGTAGCACTCATATCCTTACGTTCCATCAAAACTGGCAGAAGAGGGCAGCAGTGCACACTGTGTGTGAGAATGTAAAGCAGTGTGTAAGGTGAATTCATACCTCCGGTCTTGTCAGTAGTGTAGCGTGACCTCTTGCATGGCAATGACCTGTCTTTCTTTTCAGCCTCCAGTGAGGGAATGAAAAACTGAGCGGCTCCCGCGTCAAAGAATGTGTTTCCTATGGCTTTATCCTTTATAGCCCAGATCACCTCACAACCCTCGACTTCATACCTACAGCAAACAGACAGCCAGTATTATAGAAGATCCTTCTCAATAAATCTCTATTTGGACCTAGACTTCCAAACAAAAGCTTGGACACACCTAATCATCCTTTGATTGTTACTATTTTCCACAATATTCACAGAAAAATCACCAAAATATAAATCATTTCAAGCATTTATTCAGAAGCCTTTGGATAAAAGTACTGTTAGTGTGTTTTCTGTGTGGATTCTTTATTGTTAATCAGTTTTAGGGTTGATACAGATACTTACACCAATTCTAACGCGATTCCTCCATTGCCGATGACGACTATCCGTTTAGCCTTTGATAAGCGCTTTTGAAAATCCTGTGAAAATAGATAAGCTATATAGACAAAAGCATTGCGACACGTGAACATTACACAAAAAGAGACTGTAATGACATCGCCTTCTAAATACATAGACATTCATTTGGAGTTGGTGTGATTGAAATCAGTCATTAAGAGGTGTGTCCCCAAAACATTTGTCCATATAATGTAGCCTATATTCATTATTAATGAGCTCCAGCGTACCTGAGCACTGTCTGTGTCTCGTATGCCCAGCACATGAGGTTTGTCTTGGATGAGAAGCTTGGGTCTGCCTCCACTGCAGAGACACAACTTTTTATAATGGAACGTCTGGCCATTCTCTGCTTGTAAAAGCTGCAGAAATTGAGAGAGGGATTTAATATTAAGATTTGAATATAGAAAAAGACACAAGGTGTGCGTTTTAACATACGTGTTCCTTAGCTCGCAGGAGTTTGACTGCAGATTGTATGACTTTCAGATTGGGATACTTTTCTTCTAAAACACTAGATGGCTGTTCCTCGATATCAAATTCTTCCAAGGTCTTCGACACCTACATGGAGAAAGGTAGTTGACAGATAACTTTTTATTTTATTTTTTTTATTCAATATAAAGATTATTGGTTTAGGGATAAATTACATTAAAGTATAGTTTGTCAGTACACTTTAACCATTTCAAAGACAACAGAAATAATTATGAAATGACATATAAACGCGTACTTTAAGTACTTAAATTGGTCAAAAAAAGCAACTAACTGCATTTAATATACTGTAAATTTAAACTATAATACATTTTCATGAAATTGTCAATGACATGCGTCTGAAAACATTACATTCAGTTTGAATTTATGCATATTCTTTTAAAGAATATTATTTCCAAATTAAGTACTCTTTTTTTAAGTGTCCTTTTCACAAGTGACAATGATTTGAATATATTAATAATAAGTATATTCTTTCAAAGTAGGCTTTAATATTTCCATAAGTTTTCTGGTTTAGGAAGTATGAACACATTTGTATTAGATTCGTCACATTTTATCTTTTTTTCACACCCTTTAACTGAAATTGAGTAGGCCAATTATTTTTTTAAGTGCTAATAGAAAAAAAAAACACACACACAAAATGTCTATGAGAAAAATCAAACCTGTTTGAAATTTATAACCGTCTTCACTAAGGGAGAGGCTGTCAGAAGATAAACTTCATCTGATGGGAACTGCGATGCGATCTGCAAAAGTTATGAGATTATACAATTATCAGACATATCAGCCATTAGATCATCGATTGTCGTTTTTTATTGTGTTCATACCTGTTCTGCACAAGTTACACCTGCGATTCCTCCACCTACGATGACAAATGTGACTTGTTTATCTGAAGCCATTGAACTTCAGCACATGTCTGGATCTCGAACTACGAACTTATATCAGGCTGAACGAAACCACTATTGAGCTGCTCGGTTCTTGACTCCTTCTCGATATCTTGTGATCTCTGTCTCAGCTAGAATCATATTAACCACTTAAAAAGACACGAATAAAGAGCAATCTCATTCCGACTATATTTAGACAGACTGGACTTCCGTGTTTACCTTCTTTCAGCTGACTACAGAGAGCGTCGAGGGTCAAACAGTCTGCGCTACGATATGCGAGGTACACTGTTAGTGAGCCCTATATGAATTCCTGTTCATTCCCGCTGTTCACGCACACTTATTGATATAATAAAGATAACCCTTGTGGAATAAAGACGTGTTCAATTGAATTGAATGTGCCCTGTAGCCAACTTTAAATAAAAAAATACGTTAAAAAATATACGTGCTGATTATAATAATTAAAAAGGGCCACTTAAAGGGCAAACCATGTTGTCATAGCTTATTGATTATATAATTTTTACAGTGCAAACATGTACTTAAGTTGGTCAAAAAAGAAAGCACTCTTAAGGTCAACTAACTGCATTTAATATCAATTTTAAACTATAATACATTTTAAATTAATTTTAAATAACATGCAATTAAGTTTACGAAAACATTACATTCAGTGTGCATTTAGGTATATTATTTTAAAGTCTATTATTTCCATAATAAGAATTATTTTTAAAAGTATAAAATGTAGGCTTACTTCTTTTTCAAAAGCGACAGTAACTTGTTATAAATTTTTGATTACATTTTGATGTTTGAAGACTGTGATACATTTATGGTGAATGTGAGTTGGGTTGTGTAACGTGTAGCAGGCAACACGCACGAGAAAGGAATGATCAAAATATTGATCATATATGACTTTAATGATGGACATAGGAGAACAGACAGAGGACTGAACAGAACAGGGAGCATATGAGGGAGATACTGAACTAAATAAGACACAGCTGATAATCATAAGTAACCATAACAGGGACATGGTCAGAAACCTAAACAGCAGGAACTTAAGGAAAACACAAAATAATATCAGAGTCCGAGACTGCGACAGGTTGGTTTGGGATGGGACAGTGGTTTTGGGGTTGGTTGGATAATTGTATGACTATTGTAAAAAAAAAAAAAAAAAAAAAAAATATATATATATAAAAAATTTATTATGATTTGTCATATGTTAATAGCAATAACACACGAGCAAGTGTTGTTATATCAGCGCTGCCGTGAGTGCTGCAGGTAATTACATATATCCGTGACCGGTATAATACATGTAATGTCCTCTGATTTTTATGTCTGAAGAGTGTTGCTTTCATGAGTCACTGACTGAAAATAAACCAAGAGTGTCAAATGTGTCAAAACAAGAGAAAAATGATCAGAATAACATACACGGACACAGAAGTGTTATCTGAATTACTGCCTACACTGCCATGCCCCTTAAATGTTGATATGTTGATATGCCCCTTAGACATGTTAAAACTTTGGCCCACATCAACCCACATTTGATCCAGACAGGAACAGCTGCCCCTGGACATGAGGATAACGTAAGTTCACTGGACAGGAGAGTTCACATGGTCATATTCTCTTCTCGGAATATGCCCAGGTTGTTTTAACCTAATGAACTGCATGTGTGGCGTGCTGTTTATTCTTTAGGCCAATATTCCATTGTAACTGAGCTCACTGCAATCTCATTTCTCATGAAAGTGTGACATACACTTACATAACATAACATACTTTCATGATAGATGAGATTAATCACGAGTAATCGGTTTGACGGCACTAAGAAAAACACAAGCACCTGCTGAAAGTAAGTTAAGCTGTACAAGTAAGCTCTTGGGGAAAATAACTGTAAATATTTGTATTCTATGTGCACTTGTATACTTCAAATCTTTAAAAAAAACATACGTAAAGATAATTAAATTAAATAAAAGGCCACGTAAGTGTACTAGAGTAGTTTTTAACACACTTGAAAACTTTTAAAAGTGGAATTTGTCATAATGGCAAACTGTTTTACCTCAAAGTACATTTTTAATAGTCTGTTGACACTATGTTGCTGTCTGTGTAATTATTTATGTAGCGAAATGCCGTGTAATAAGTGGTATGACTGTACCGTATACCTTAAATGTCTGTCTACAGTAGTTTGAACTTGCCGGGCTAGCAACTGCTTTCTTTTAAAGAGCTATTAAAATATTTCTACTCAGATCATATTTCATGTCTAATTATTTACTAAATGTGGCAAGTAGCCGTGTGTAATAACGCTTCGCGACGGGGTCCTGATCATCCTGTCGGGGTTTATTCTGCGATAACAACCGACCGGAGGTAGATTATCCCTTACTTAAAGTATATTATATTCGTCTTAATTATTCTATTTAAAATGCTGATTAAATTAGTTAGAAATCCTGGTAAAGACACCAGCGTCCAGAACTCAACAAATGATGGTGATCAGTGCTCGTCAACAGGGATGAGATATAATGAGAAACATATACGAGACAAAGTTGATGCTTACAGGGATACTCCACTTTTTTTGGAAAAAGGCTCATTTTACAACTCCCCCAGAGTTAAACTGTTGAGTTTTACCGTTTTTGAATCCATTCAGCCGATCTCCGGTTCTGGCGGTAACACTTTTAGCATAGCTTAGCATACAGCCTGAAAATAGTCCCCAGCTGCGTCATATCATTACGCCTGCTGCACTCATGGTACGGCAGTAAAGTTTCTTGATTACTACGCAGGAATGAGAGTATAGTTCCTAGCCATATCAGCCTAGAAAATCGCAACTTTACATTTTCCGTCGGTCTTAGTGCACGATGTAACTACAGAAGAGTCAAGTTTTAAATAGGAAAAATATCGAAACACTTTGGTCATTTTCTTTTTGAGAAATGCTAATGGTCTTGTCCACTTCAATGATGCTATGCTAAGCTATGCTAAAAGTGGTACCGCCAGAACCGGAGATCGGCTGAATGGATTCAAAAACGGTAAAACTCAACAGTTTAACTCTGGGGGAGTTGTAAAATGAGCCTATTTCCCAAAAAAAGTGGAGTATCCCTTTAAATAAAAGAAACTTTCTGAAAGTAAAACCTCCAAACAAATAAAATGTTCCACTAAGAAAGCAGGGATGAGATATGAAACATCAGTTGCACTGGACAAAATGACACACTAAGTAACTTTCCATTGGCCTAATTAAAAAGTACAAGTTAATTATCCAGATTAAATGAGTCACACTGGAACTCAAGCTCTCATCTCCTCTGTCTGTGTACGTAATGGATCTGATGGCCCTGTATCTCAGCCATATTAACCGCACTGAACAGCGGCTGGCCTTTAACCTCTTTGTGGACACCGACGTCATTGTGACAGATATATCAACCGCCAAATTATCCGTGACCGCAGCCAATCCTATTATTTCCTGTTTTATTAATACAGGAATCACCCTGTTTGATACGCTGTTTGATACGCTTAGATCAGAATAGAAATGATGTCACACTGGGACAGAAACATATTTCGTTACAACGTCAGGATGATTAGGATGTTGTTTTTAAGAGGAAATTATATGAAGTGCTTCACATGTGGATTCCCATAAAAACACATTCAGGTCATATTTCACCCCAAACCCGAAAAAAACATATATTGTTATATTTTTCCTAAAGAAAATGAGGCATATATTTAAGATTGTTAACATTGTGATATCATTTTAAATGCACATTTGGTTACACTTTATTTTAAAGTGATATAGTTACATTTAGTACTGAGTATTAATTAACAACATGTACTTACTATAGATTTATGGTTAGGGTTTGGGGTTACACTTTATTTTAAGGTGTCATTGTTACAGTGTAATTATGTATTTAAGTACTGAGTAATAATAATTATACATGTACTTACTATAGGGTTAGGGTAGGATTAGGATTTGGTTGAGGGTTAATTACTTGTAATTATGCATAATGTCCTGTTATTACTATACAAGAACATGTAGTAACGTGTAACTACGTCTCACACATATTTGACAAACTAGCAATATATATATATATATATATATATATATATATATATATATTATGACCACAAAAACATGGTCGTATTTTTTTCAATACTTTTAGTATTTTAAACAAATTATGTTCATGACATTTATTTGATCATTACAGATGCCCATCTTGTGAATGGGAAAGGGACTGTGTGAAAATGTATTGCTGAAACTTTCATTAGGCCTTACCTGTCCATCTCTGTTGCTGATGATGCATCATTATCTGAAATGCCACTGAAGTATTTTTCTGCTTGATTGATTCATGTGTATTGCGGCTGACCCTTCCGCATTTATGTATTTCATCTATTTCAGACTCTATAACGTCTTTTTATCAGAGCAACCACAGAATGTGTGCGACTGCATGAACAGCATAGTTTGATGTGATTGCCAGTTCAAACATGTGGACAAAATGATAGTCACTGATGATGACAGAGATGTTTTATTTTAGAGTTGGCTACAATATTTAAACAACATTTTCACTCTACTTTTTTGTTACAATGGTGCATTTATTTTATTTTATTTCATTTTATTTTGTGAGTGTGTGTGTGTGTGTATAACAAGAATTTAAAAAAATTTATATCTCTGGCATGTACACCCACAAATATTTTTCTCAATTAGCTGCAATTAGCAATGCTATTATGAAAATTATATTTGTAAATTTGTTTTCAGGAATCAAATCAAATGTTGAATTTTTAAAATACATTCATATTGCATGGGACCTTTCCACATATTCCACAGCATCAGAGCAGAAACCAATAGTCCAATTATATGCATTATATGGATTAAAAAGAGAAAATTACCTCCTTTTCATATTTTTAAAGACACAATAAAATTTTTGCAATAGTGCTAATCTATAATACGCAATTTTCAAAAACTTTCACCACTGACCGATTTCCTGATAAAGAAAATATGGACAGAAACAAGATGCTCGTTAAGCAGGTCAAAGTCTTGTCCTAGATCTTTAGCTTTAGCTTTGAGCGAAATGTAAGCTCAAATTAAGGTACATTTTTGTCAAGGTACAAAAGCCAAACTGTTTTCTGTTACTGTTTTCAATGCTTTTTTTGTACCTCCTCAGTTTTACCATCAGCACATGTGTTATAAGCAAGGACTCTTTTAGAGTCAGGGTCAGAGGTCTATTATGACCTATAATGGTGCACAAATTGAGTGTATTTTATGGCTATAATAGCCTACAGTAATCAATGTATACAACCACTTGATGTTGGTGTGCATTAACTTATATGTGTGCTCATCAAAACAGAGATATAGCGAAGCTCCACATCCAATCAGAAGGTGTCAGACAGAGTTCGAATGGCTAATGGTATATTTAACCACATTTGCTATACATGGTACTTGATCAGTTTCTGTTGAGGGTTATATATAATGCGAATCTTTAACAAAAATGAATGACTGTGGTTTAAAATGGCAGATTTAAAAGATAAGTCTTTCTTGCTGTATTGCTTCGAAATCTGGCCTGCAATAATAAACAAAGAAATCTTGTAGACTACAGGTTTATTGACCTTATTGTAATGACATATGAGCAGAGAAGTGTATTATCCTTTTTTTTTCTTTTATTACAAAAAAAATCAAAACAATATGTCAATTCGTCTTTGCTATTCATGTGCTTTTTATAATACATTTAATTCATTGGCCATCATGATACCGTGTTGAAAAACACTATGTTGTCTGAAAACCTTATTGTCATGCAAGGTTTACCAGAAACTGAAAATGCTGCAAACAATTTACACCAAAAGGCACTGGCTTTTGTGTACACAAAAAAAAAAAAAAAAAAAAAAAAAAAAAGAAGAAAAAAAAATGCTATCATATACAAAACAGAATAATTTCCATCATTATCATACATATTACATTTATTTTACTATAGGGGAATGATTCTCGCTTTGGGGTTCCCCGGATCAAATCCCGGACGAGCCCCCGATTGCGTTGCCAATTGAACTATAGGGGCAAGTAAATAGGTGACTGGAGCAGGTCTCTCTTTCCATAAGTGTTGGATCCGACGTTGGTTGGCGCATAGACGGTGCCGATGGTGTTGCTGGATCGGATGAGAAAATCTGCTAATCTCTGAGTAACACAGGTAGCTGTATTGCACCTCCTCTTTTCCATGTGATGACTGTATAGGTAAGAAAAGGGTATTCAGTTGTTAGTCATATGCCTAAATAACTCACAATTAATTACCTTACATTTTTTTTGATGACATTTACTGGCGTGTGTGTGGGGCAACCAGTCACTCACATGAGGTAACTACAAACTACAAAGATTCAATCAATTCCCTATTGACAAAATCAAATCCCGCCCAACATTTGTCTTGTTCAAGAAGCCATTGGATATACTTCACAATAGGGAATAAAAGACTACCGCAACTTCAAACTTCAGACTCAGACTTCGCAGGCAAATAAGGTCCATTGTCGTTTATCAATAGTGTAGTGATGTACGAAATACGAATCACAGCTCATACAGAAGTCACTCTCAATCCAAGCAGCTTTCTGTTAGTGCAGGTTGCAAGACCTTTTCGCCTGATTTTCGTCCGATTGCATGGATTCCAATTGAAATGACTGAATTTCGACAATGAAAATTTGTTAAGTAACAGCCTAAATGTGACTGAGGCATAACGGGTAATAATGACTAAATAACATTAATCAATGAAAATAGTCCCAAAAAAAAAAAAAAGCTAAAGCAAATTCGATTACGAAATGGTATAAACGTACTTTGATGGTACTACCTAAAAAAATGGCAACATCTTAAACAATTAAACATAATTGCCGCAATTAATTAGCACAAGTACCTGTTCACTGCACTGAGACCCCTTGGGGGCCGTGGCCTTGTAAAACTCACAAAGGGATTGTCAGATAGATCTGCAACCAGCCATCCATCGGCCTCTTGCAAGTCATCCGGCTGCTCATTGGACGAAAGGGAGTACCTGTCGACAAGAAGAGGCCACAAAGCACCATCTCATCAAGAACTGCTTATAGAGTGCCACTCTCCCTGACTATTACAATCTTCTGAAGTGGAGATGTGTTGCAAGTGGATCATTTGGTCCCGCTGGTCATATCACTCTCACACACTTCTATACACTTGCAACACAGGTGTTTCATCTCAAAGATAGACCAAATAATTTGCTCTCTCAAATGAACCTTTTTTGTCAGGTAACCTAAAATCTGTTTGGTGTGATACCATTACACTCTTAAAAATACGTTGTTGGTTTTTTAATGACGCCATAGAAGAATCTTTCAGTTCTTAAAAGAACCATTTTTCTTAGTGTGAAGAATATGAAAAAAAATCTAAAGAATATTTTTCCACTATAATGAACCTTTTTTGTAACATCCAGGTTCCAGGGATGCTAAAGGTTCTTTGTGGAATCATCAATACTAATAAAGAACCTTACATTTTAGGAGTGTAACATCAGCCTACATTATTAAATTAATTTAATTTAATATTCACATTAAAAAATCAATATCAATTGACTACATTTAGACACCAACCAAAGTCAAATTTAATGGTCAAATCAACTAGAAATACAGCTGTACGTTTTTACTTGTACTTACCAGTAAATAGTTGGATACTTAATCTTTCTTATCAATAATTCCCACATTTTATAATATTAGTGTCATCAAAGCGATAAAATAATACAAACAGAATTATGGGAATTATTTAGTTGCCGCGTTAACATTTTTTTATTTAGATTGGCTTCTTCAAAGTTGCCACCATTTCTGCACACTTTGCTTTTCTTTCAGTATCCCGTCAAATGAATGTATTTAAAAATGAATTTAAATTAATTTAAGGGTGCTCCATTGAAATTCTGGCCAATAGCGATAAGAGATCAATTAATTTTAATAAATTATAACTAATTGCTGATATTATACTACTTTCTTGCAGGTTATGTCCGCAAACTATGATGATCCAGGAACATGTCTTACTTGGCGAAATCACAGTGAACTGTAAACTGGTCACTCATATCTGATTGAAATGTTGTTACAGGATCAACAAAGATGTTGATCCAGGAATGTGTTGCACTTTATGCACAGCATGTACACTCTTGCCCTTAAAGCACAAGATCAGAAGCTTCTTAAAATCATGAAAAACCTCAATTTAGTATAGTTTGTCCAAATTTGTTATCATTATGGAACAAATAATGTTGTGGATGATTATTAATATCTTCATATACACAGAAATTGTAAAAAGACATAACCTGCCAGTTTTATCCTAAAGAGAAACTTCTACCTGATTTAACCCCTAAATATTGGTTTGACTTAAAACCAGATTAGTTAGATGTGACCATTTTAGGTTACCGTTGTTTTTTTTTTTATTGTTATCGTTGTACTCATTAGACAAAAATCTATTACGTAAATAGGATATATGTAATATTTGAATTTCTATCAAATGAAATATTCAGTAATTCCTTTATTCTAAAAAGTAAAACATTCAATAGACTACGTTTTAAAACGTTTGTCAGATAAAATGCCAGCCTATGATATAATTTGAATGAACTTAATTTGAGTGAAAGATATTATCTATTGTATTATAATATTATATTATATTATTCTAAATCAGCCTGACTACATTAGGTTACACACATGAATGAATTTCAGGGGCAATCCTAAAAAAAAAGATCAAAAATCAGATCAAAAATACATCCCGACACCTAACATTTTGGCTTTGTACAATGAGTTAGAAGACATACCTGTTGTGAGGGACTGTGGCGACACAATGCAGCATCACGAGGAAGATCAGGACCTGGGAGGACAGTTTCAGATGATGCATGGCAGACTGCAATACTTTCAATGTTCTTGCGCAGTAGAAATGGAACAAAAAAGAGCATAAGCATGAGTAAAATTGGATTTCAGATGAGATGCAGATCAGATGAGTAGAAGAGTTATTGAGCCTACAAAAAGTTTCCAGATATTTTATTGAAAGAGTAACAATACTCACTTCCAGCAGTTTCGAACCAGTGGACAGCAGCTCCAGAAGGTGCTGGCGATGTCTCTGTTTTTCACACAAACACTCACACACTCACTCGCTCCATTCGCTCTGTTATAGGCTCCTACCCTCAACCACTTGTGACATCATCACACTCCTCCAAATATAGCTCTCAATTTACAGCAGAGATCAGGGGTATATGGAGAGGGGGGTTAGCTTGAAGAATTCAAACTCACAGAAAGGGTCAAAAGCGGCGTTGACGCTTGTCATGACGTTCGTAGTGGACATCCTCATCAATTGCCTTTACGTCATAATGTATCAAATGACTTTGAGTAAAAAAGCCATTCCTGCAATGGAAAAACTTTTATGAGGATATTTTGCTCGTTAATTATTGTTTCTGGAAAAAAATCAATGCCGTACCTAGAAAAAACTTCTTCAAAATATTATAGATGTTGGGTCAGGCCTGGTTTTCCTTTGTGTTCTTGTTCATTTAATATGCTTTAAAAGAGCCAGACTTTGTTCAAAACTTGTAGCTCAATATTTTCCCTTTCCCAGGGATTCAAGTAGAAATGACTCACTCTTTATTTTAAGTCAGAGAACAAAAAGAAGTTTCAGCCAAAACCCACCAACATCTACAGCAGATATGGTATGAAATCTAACAGACTGGATAAAGTTGAATAAAAAAGTTATGTAGGGATAGCAAAACTCTCTGCTTCCATGTTTGTGTATGGTTACCAGGGCGTTGCTATGCTGTTGGTGTTCTGAATGTGTTTAACACATTGCTATGTGGTTGCTAAAGGGTGTTCTTGTTACTTCTGTAGTGTCTTTTAGAACATTCAGTACTCAAGTAGTTAGCCAAATGATCATTTCCAAATGTTTTGAGCTGCAATTTATCATAACAAATGCCATTTGTTTTGTAGACTTGTACTTACATTGATCCAACCATAAATGAAGACATGATTTTACCAGTGTTTATGATATTACTACACAGTTAATATAGAGTATACTGTAGGTGCAGTACAAGAACTGTGCCAGACATGTTGCACGCTGGCCTAACAATATCACCCACTGTTGTCTAAATCAACGTGATGGTAAGGACTGTTGTAAAATGTAGATTTCTTTGAAATATACCGCCACCATGTGCTTCAAACCACCCATTGCATCAAACTGCAGATTACAGATTAATACATATCTGTACATACCCAGAGCCACAGGTGGAATAGACGTCACTTCTACATATAAAGTATAAATATTCAAATATGAGCACATGTTTAGACAGCTATAAATATGCTATTTTTTGTCTCATGTATTACTTAACTCAAAATTACATTAAAATGCAATTCACACATTATCATACTCGAAAACACCTCTTTTATGATATGCATGTTTTTAATTTCTTTGTGAGACCTTTTTGTGAGGCTGTTCAATCATAATACAAACTGATTTAGCTATTCTGTTATTTAGCTATAGCTATAAATAGATTTTTAAACTCACTGTCCCGTAATGAAATAAGGAAAAGCCATTAACAGTTCCTTGTCCTTTATGTTACATCAGAACGACTGATGTGTCGGGATCTCGCCTGAGAGGCCAATCACCTTCGAGTGGTAAAAAAACAAGCCAATGGACATTAAGATTTGCATTGCAAACCATTCCCAGTGACACGGGTATAAAAAGAAGCGTGGAGCTCATTTAAGCTTTCGCGATAGGTGAAAGGGCGACCAGGAGGGGCAACCTGGAGATGGAGGAAGCTGCTCTTCCCCCAGAGAAGGCCCGGGCGAAGAATCTTTTGTTTTGTCAAATTTATGTTCCGTCGCTGGCCTCACGGTCAGTGGTACGCAAATTTTCAACAGAAGAGCTGTTTCCTCAATCTCTGGGTCCCAAGAGCGTCGGTTGACAGTGAGTGACGCTATGCTTTGCCACTCTCATCCCCCTCTTCTATCGGCAGTAGACAGGAGTCTGCGGTTCGAGGATGCAACGCCCTCTCATGCGTCTCCTGCCATTCCCTCATGGGAACCATGGAGACAGGTAAGTGTTGCACCGCACAGTTGGTTCCCACCCTGTGCTCCACTTCGCTGCCCCATTGCGAGTACATCTGTAGTCCCACTGGTTCCACTTGCACGGTGTCTGGCTAGTGCTTTCACAGCCCGTCTTGCTTGCTCACTCGGACGATCAGACTCGGCTATGCGAATCAGTTCATCTCATGTCCCCCCAGCTCCAGTGGCATCCGGTTTACTGGCACATAAGGCATACAAGGATGCTCCTGTTCTACGTGCAGATATCGCAGTCCTACTGGCGATAGAGCCGGTCCCTCCAGCCGATATAAAGTCCAGGTTTTACAACCCTTCCTTTATTGTACCCAAGAAAGGCGGTCAAGAAGCTAATGCAGAAATGCATTTTCGAGTTCGGACAGGACCTCGACTGCAGTGGCATATCAATTGCCTCAAGTTGCTAGCAGTAATACTCACCCTGCGCCGGTTCAGACCATTGCTACAGGACAAGCATGTGCTGGTCCGGACGCACGACACAACGACCGTTGCGTACATCAACCATCAGGGTGGTCTACGCTCCCGTCGCATTTCACAACTTGCCCGCCATCTCCTCCTCTGGTGTCAGAAGCATCTGAAGTCGCTTCACACCATTTACATTCCGGGCAAGCTCAATTGTGCAGCCGACGAGTTCGCACGACAGCTTTCCATCACAGGAGAATGGAGACTCCACCTCCAGGTGGTCCAGCTGATTCGAAGACGCCTCTGAGCCACACAGGTAGACCTGTTTGCCTTTCCGGACACGTCCCACTGCCAGTTGTTTTCAATTTATCAGTCATTCTGACATAACGTCACCGCTCCCTCCTTCAGGGAACAGGGGTTACATTAGTAACCTAGACATTACCCATCAGCAGGATCCCTGCTCCAATGATCTTGGGTCTGTGAAAATTAGCGCTGAAGTAGCTACCACAACAATGACCAATATTACCTGCAAGCAAATTGATCTGTCTTTATTTAACCTATTATGTTTGGTTAAGATTTATGGCATACAATAAACGATCAGTCTCTGCACCATGAACAGTATGCATAAGAATGAACAGTAATTCAGTCACATTGCAGCACAGTGGTGTGACTCACTGGTATAAGTACTCATCTAATTGGTGAACCTCTGCCCTCATTTTCAATGCAGCTCGACACATCTCAACTCAGCCATTTCAAAACTGCCATCGATGATACAGTACCTACAGTGGAGCTTGGGATCTCAAACCGCCTCTCAATCTGAGTGATGGTGCTTTTGGTGTAAGCCCCCGTCAGGGATTTGGAGAAATAACAGATGGCAATGACACCCATTGTGGTCCACCAATGAAACTATAGATCATCATTTTGCATGTTCAATGTAGATATTACAACCCATGCAATGCCACTGAAAACCAAAGTGACACATGTTAGAGAAAAAAATATAAAAACAACTTAAGTTAACCTAACTCCATGTCACAGTCATGTTTATTTTTTCACTCTTGTTTAGTTTTAATCTTAGTTTTCATTGTCTTTGTCACTGCCTGAATTCTAGTCATTCATTTGTTGTCATAGTTTCTAACTATTCATCACCTGTTCCAGTTCTGTTGATTACCTATGTATTTTAGCCTTATGTCTTCCTCGGTTATTTGTCTCTCGTTGAAATTGTTAGTTTTTGTATGCATTCGTTCTTCGTGTTCATAAAAGTTGATGCCTATTATTCATTCATCCTGCATCATGCATCTTTCTTGAATTATATACACAGCCAACCCCTGACACCATAAGTGTGCACACACTTTTTATAATTGGATATGTGGCTGTGATCAGAATTCACTAATCATCATGCTCATAGTAGTACTTACCTGTCTTCACTTGGTCCTCTGGGAACTGAGTTTGAGACCTATGGCTTACGGAGGATCAACATGATCTTATTGTTGAAAGGTATCTCTCAGGTGAGGGCTACAAAAAAAGGGTGGTAATTCTTAAAAACCTACTTTTTCTAACTCTAAGGCCGTTGGTCCGATCTTCACCAAAATAGGCACACAGCAGCTAGGGACAGTGCTGGCAAATATGTATCAAAAGAAATTCGATTTGTTAATTTAAGTTAATTAATTGGTGAGGCAACATCCAATTTTATGTGTTAACCTATAGCCTCAATATCCAAGATTAACTTGACACACATAGACAAAATTACATTCTGAGGACGCACACCAAGTTTCGTATAATTCCACCAACAGGGCTACAAAAAACGTTATAAGTCCGTAACCGTATGATCCACGAAGTTGAAATTTTGTATGCGTCTTCTTTGGTGGACATCCTAACATATCCTATAATATGACTTGGGTTCTTCAAGAAATATGGCCGCTTGCAGCTAATCAAATTTCAGAAGCTAATAACAGTAAATCTGAAAGGCCTACCGTTACAAAAATTTATATATTTGTACATTGTGTATCCCTGGAGAATGTCTGTTAGCTTTAAGACTGGACGATACTCAGCCAATAATGTTGTGTGGTACAAGTACGCACAAGCCTGTTAGCCTCTGGAAGGATCTCTGAAGTAACTTTCTTTATTAAATCATTGTCCAAACTATAAAATCTATGAATGTGCGCTGAAAAGACTGGCCTGCCATGGCACAAAATACCTCAGAAGGGCGCACCTTAGCTAGCACTAAGAAGAAACCACACTCCTAGTGTGGTGGGATTGATGCATAGAGGTGAAGCATGCTTTGAAGAGAAGGTGAGCGCCACATTCTGGTAGCTACGCTGAGAGGAGATTTGGTAGTAACCGAGCCGGAGAATACCGCTCCTCAAAACAGAGGTGGCAGGATAAGCATAGTCTCTTCGAGGCTTTGAAGAAGACATGAAGCATGTTGTAGTGGTGCCATGGTCTCTTCCCTGAGGGGGCATAACCTGGATGCAAAAATGTAATAGGCGAGTGCAGGTGCTCCTCGTGAGACACTCGTGTGTGCGTGTTGCGGGAAAATAAAATGATTTGATTTGTGGGACTCCCGAAATATCTAAAAACAAATAAAGTGTTATTCATCTATTGCACAAAAGCAACAAGAACAACTAAAATATATGATTTACAGGTGCAAACATAGGCAGAGTGTGCTGCTCTGATTGCTTTTAGAGGGAAAAGCTGCTGGTCTAGGATGGTCTTTCTCCATAATAATAGCATATTGGTGAAATAGATTTGGCATGCAATCCATTGCGTATCTGTGTTTGCGTTCTGGAGAGCTTCAAATACTCCATTTACAACACGTTTTTGCAGCGTTGAGCAATGTAGCCAATCCCAAACATATCTGTTGAATTCTTGAATGCAATGGCCAATCAGACATGTTTGAGGTTAGAATCCACTCACCGCTCAAAACACCTAAGTTTTTGTTTAGTGCCGAGTTCTGCACGCTTCTAATAAAAAAAAAAAAAAAACCTTAGACATTATGAAAGATTCAATGTGCAGTCAGCTTCATTGAATATAACTGTGTGAGATTGCGATTAACTAAACCGAGTGACAGCTTTTTAGTGATCTTTGAACGCTTTGTGCAACGCCAATCACACATGCAGTTGCTTATGCTTGCTTTTCTGTTAAAATTAACAGAGGTTTGTGAATGTAGATGCTTTTAATTACAAATTATGTAATGGGAGCGTGTTGCTGGGATGTGCGGGCGGGAGCGGAAAAAACATAAATGTTGCGGTCCTGAAGGTAACAAGAAGTGGACGGGGGCGGAACTGAATCGGCTTCAGGTAACGGTCATAAAGTGCGA